TGCGTGTCAGCCATTCAAATCACGAAAAAATTATTTAGCCTTTAATTGTTGCTTCAAAGACACAGCATGCCTTGTTGAATTCACCGTACAATAACTTCAATTGAAATTTTGTGTGAAAAAAAACTTTAAATAGGCTACAATAAATAAACTACAATATTTATAAAATACTAAAACTACTATTATAAATTTGAATAAAATATGGGGCCTACATTTGGACACAGATTTATCCTTACAATAATTTTGCCTGCTCATCAGGCTGGCTATCCGACACTCTCCATATGAAAGAGGAACATTAACACCTTTGTCCAGCAACTGTCCCTCCAACCCCCCACAGGCTATCGGAGTCTGAGGCTGACTTAACACAAAGAGAAGTCGCAATTCACACTTAAATCGCTATTCTAGACAGTGTTGATAATGAAGGAATTAAATGGAATTACATGTAGCCTAGTGATATTTCTGTCATAAAAGTTTATTACTAAATATTTCATTATTTCAATAATTGATGAAATAAAACTGGTTTGGGGCAGCTTTTTCCAAGCAAAACTAAATATAATCTGAAAAAACGCTTGTTAATTTGTTGTCATGAACAAAATGTTCAACTCAATATTAAATTCTACAGGGATCTTTGGATCCTTACAACCAGGCATGCAATTTGTGAATTAAGTTTTTATTTGATTTTGTATTATTCAAATAAATATCGAAACACGGTGCTTCGTGGTAATGCTGCTAAATTAAATAACATTTATAGAACAATTATGAACTTAAATGAAACAATATCGCAACATTTCGACAAATACATTATTTGATCTGTTTTTACATTTTAATTCAGGGCGATTTAGCCTACATTTAATTAGAGCGAGATTTTCACCCTTGTCTTGTCATTTTCTCATTGGGAAGCGCTTCCATTACATGTTTGAGTAGATCCTCTGTACCTCTCGTTTTCATAAGGATTAGCCTACATAATCAGATAACATTTATTAGCCTAAATATTTAGACATTTAAAGGCTTTAGACATAGCCGATTTCTTATCGTGACTGAGCTGAAGTGGCTTTCGGTTCATTTTTGTGACGCGCAGTTCCCGGAGACAGAGACGACAGATAGCCTATACTGTTTTTGTCGTTAGCCTAATATGAATACAAGTTTACAGTTTTGAACGATGTAAGCTACTCTACTCTTATCTGTATGACCAAAAAATTACGGAGTCGCCTACTAAGTTATTTTAGCTGTAATAATGAGAAAAATAAATTAATCTAAATGAACGCACCGCCGTGTTTGTCGAACACTAACTCACCATGCCAGAATAAAACCCGACTTTAGAAAAATGCATAGGGCCACTCGGCGTGGTGTGCCAAAACACTTAATTATAAACTTCAATATTTCATTCAAAATAATCTCAACACGCTTTGTGAAATTTGAAAAGCCGTGCATGCATTAAGGCCACTGGAACTAATGAACAACTGAAACGCTGGTTTTGATTTTATTGTTTGTCGTTTAAACGTGCCTGTTGCATATCTCTATTTTATATATTTGATATTGGTGAAGTAGCCTATAGCATTGATTAGCTGTGGAGGGAGGGGTGTGGGGATTAAAATAATTCAGCAGAAGCAGGGATGTTTAGACCAGAAGGAAATCACAATCCCCCCTGGCAAATCACACTTTACTTAAAACCATGTTTTTAAAAACTCTAGGTTGTAGGGAACAGACCTCTCTGCCATGCGCGCGCACAGTTTGGAGCACAATATCTGTCTCGCATGCACGCTCGCTCTAGATAGATTACGGGATATTTTAACTAATTTGCGGTATAATAACTAGTCGATCACGAGTGGCTCAACAGGTATCTATAGATAAACTATATCCTTCAGGAATTTGACCGACCGGGTTGACACTTCAGCGTGAGAAATCGGGGGTGTGGCATGAGAGCCTGGAATAAAAAAAATAATATATATATAGCCTATATATATAGGCTATATATAATTTATTTTTTTACAGAACTGCTTTTGAAATTACGATTGGTAGCCTATTATTATACAGATGCAAAGTCGTTCTGTTGGATACTATTTTGTTTTTTTGTATTTTTACTTAGTGTGAAATGGAAATGCATGATAATTGTATTTTATAAATATAAGCAAAAAAAAAAAACTGTATGGTGTAACAGAGTTTTAGAGCTAGACAAATCTCTTTGCAATAATAAATATAAAATTTACAGCAGACCATGTTTGTGCGGGATTTGAACCCGTGTCATCTTGATGATGAACCGTAAGTTCTACCGCTCAGCTATGAATTTTCTCACTGAGAAATACCCAAACGTCTGTTTCTGACATGAGCGAGAAAACGTTTTGTCTTTAGCCTGTGAGAGTGTAGGCCTACTTTAGCCTTTTAAAGTTTTAAAAGATTATATCTTATCTGTATGACCAACAATTTGTTGTAGGCTTATTTGGAAATTACCATAACTTGTAGTATTTCATCCTTAGGCTACTGTTAATAGACATTAGCCCCACTTACGTTTTGCTAAATGTCCCTTTGCGCCACCTGGTGGTCATTTCGCGAACGACTTTGCAATGCGACTGGTTTATTTTTACCGCGGTGGATGGCTAAAAATGGTATGTGGATGGCTAAAAGGTGTGACTATAATGTGCTTTTGGCTTTCATTTAAATTTTGATTGTTTGTATATATATATATATATATATATGTGTGTGTGTGTGTGTGTGTGTGTATAAACATTTATTTATTTATATACACTACCGTTCAAAAGTTTGGGGTCGGTACGATTTTAAATACTTTTAAAAGAATTCTCTTCTGCTAACCATGGCTGTGCTTATTTGATTAAAAATACAACAAAAATCAGTTATAGTATTAAATATTATTCCAGTGTAAATCAGCTGTTTTCTGTGTGAATATATAGTAAAGTGTAATTTATTCCTGTGATCAAAGCTGAATTTTCAGCATCACCAGTGTCAGTGTCTTCAGTGTCAAATGATCCTTCACAAATCAGTATAATATGAGGATTTGATGCTCAAGAAACATTTATTATTATTATCATCAATGTTGAAACAGTTGTTGGTCTGTCAGTTGTACAGTTTTTTTGTTTGTTTTAGGATTCTTTGATGAATAGGAAGTTCAAAAGACTTTTGTAACATTATAAATGTCTTTACTGTCACTTTCGATCAAATTAATTATTCCTTCATAAATAAAAGTATTGTTTTCTTTCCTCCAAAAAATAAAAATAAAATTCTCACTGACCCCAAACTTTTGAACGGTAGTGTATATATATTGTCCTTGCATTCTTTCTTGTGTGACACCCCTGATTGAAAGGCTCATTAGTATGCAGACTGCTCAGGTGAGAACTGCCTAATTATTCATGAGGGGGTTGGGCCGTTCCGCCCATCCGCATATTGCCTTTGCAAACAAAAAAATGTTTTTCACAATTTAAAACAATCTATTGTTTTATGTGAATGATAAGGCAGAATGATTTTCAGATCAATTTGAAGCAAAAACTCTAGGCGATAACATCCACTAGTCAAAAGTCTTGTGGACAAATATTTAGTATGTTATTTGTGGCCTTATATTATAAACTTTAGTTTTTAGTTTTTTCAATAACCACGCATAAACAATATTATCTCAAAAATACAAACATGTACATGCATGTTGCTCACATATTATGGTAGCCCTGTGTGTGCTATATAGAGTGTAATTTCACCTGTGCCATTAATATGTTTATAAGCAACTGAAAAAAGCACAAATGTCAGAGCATGCCAAAACATCTCAAGGACCCCGAAAACACCTCAGACCCCAGAGGGTTAAGTAATGTGAGTTTTTCAAAATGAAACACATTTGAACAATAGAGAAAAATTAGGATGAAACATTTGATCAATTTTTTAAGACCACCATTGTGTGCATTTAGATCTCATAGAATATTTATGTTCTGTAATACACACACACACACACACACACACACACACACACGAGAATATAAATAACTAGGACAGTGATGACTAGTGATCATACCTTGGCACTGGTGATTGTTCCAAAGGGAGCGAACTCTTTACGAAGACGCTCATCATCAATACCATCATCCAAGTTCTTAACATAGAGATTGACACCCTGTAAAGAGAGCAAATGACGATGGAGAACTGCATCTGTGAGGGCACTTACAATGCACTAGATTTAATAAACTATTACAAGGTTCGTACAGATTTTTTAAGAGTGAAATTCAAGCCCTTTTCAACCAGTGGCGCTTTTCAAGGGTTCAGTGAATAAAGATGTACATAAGCCTATATGCAAAACAGCTGAGAACCAAATTACGATTAACTGCTATATAAATGGGAGGGAGACTATAGCCAAATTTCCATTTGATCCAACAGGAATAGGAAAAGCGTTTCCAACGACTTTCCCTTTCCAAAAGAAGAAAAAAACCAACAACACAGAGCAAACAAATATCAAACAAATTCTGAATCTGAACAAGTCCAGCACAAATTCAAAGCGGTACAGTAGATGGCACAACATGAATGCAGCTTTCAGCTGCGCTGCCAATCCGGATATCAAAACAAAAGAACGTAGGAGAAGAAAGTTAACACTAATTTCTAGAGGTGTGAATCTTCACTTCCCTCATGTTTTTTTTTATATTTGCTACATTCAGGAAGTGTACTTTCTTGGAGCAGATAAAACAAAAAGGGAGTTCATGTATCTGACTGCTTGTATTCATTGACGAAAATGTAGCCATGTACAATAATATAGAATATTAAGGATGCAACGCATCATGATATCGAATCGAAGACATGATAATTGTAATCAAATTGAATTGTGAGACCAGTGAAGATTCACACCCCTAATAATAAGACTATATTTACAATAAAAAATCAGCCTATTGTAGGAATCATTTCAAGTAGCCTATTAATAAAAACTATGTTTCAGGTTACCTTGGGAGGCTGGTGAGAACTGATTAGCGCAAACATTGTCTCCTTTTTGCATTATGCCTAATTTAGGTCCATAAATAAGAAACTATTGTACATAGCCACTTATGTCCCCAGTATCCACTATAAAAGAACATGGGGCCCGTGGACTATAAAATGTCACTGTTGCAGCCATTTTGGCCAGTGCGGTCCACTGAAAAGGAAACACTGAATTTGACAAGGCTGCAGAAGTCAGTTCAATTTTACTGACCTGGTAGCGAGTCATCCGGTCTTGCTTCATCTGCTCAAATTTGCGCTTGAGCTCAGTTTGGCGCTCCACTTTTTTCTGAGCGCGACCCACATAGATGAGCTTGCCGTTCAGTTCTTTGCCATTCATCTCATCCACAGCCTGTTCCAAGAGATCAAAACCGTTTTTTGGTACCTGTTCATCCTATGGTTACATTTACTCCAGGAAGTCAAGTACGTTAGTTTGACCACATTTAAAGCTGAACTGACCCTCTGCGCATCCTCGTGCCTCTCAAAACTCACAAATCCAAAGCCTCTGGACTTCCCATTTTCATCAGTCATGACACGGATGCTCATAGAATTACCTTACCAAATCAGAAAAAATGTTTTTGAAATGTATAAACCAAGAGAGAAATTGTAGTTTTAGTGGTTTTATATAGTTTAAAACAAATTACCATATTTGCTGAAGACGTCCTTGAGCTTGTCATCATCCATATCTTCCCCAAAATTTTTAATGTACACATTGGTAAATTCTTTGGCTCTTGCACCGAGCTCAGCCTCCCTCTCCTTGCGAGATTTGAAGCGCCCTACAAACCTGATGGCAAAGCGCAGCGATCAATACGAGGTTGTAGTTAATCTCAACAGTTATTTCAAGGGGCTGAGAAATGGAACTTAAAATTCATCTACACATTTAGCATCCTTTTCAACAATATAAAATATACACCGATCAGGCATAACATTATGACCACCTTCCTAATATTGTGTTGGTCCCTCTTTTGCTGCCAAAACAGCCCTGACCCCTTTAAGTCCGTTAAGTTGCAAGGTGGGGCCTCCATGGATCGGACTTGGTGGTACGTGTCAAAGTAACATCCACATGGATGGCAGGACCCAAGGTATCCCAGAAGAACATTGCCCAAAGCATCACACTGCCTCCGCCGGCTTGCCTTCTTCCCATAGTGCGCCATGGTGCCATGTGTTCCCCAGGTAAGCGACGCACACACAACTGGCCATCTACGTGATGTAAAAGAAAACGTGATTCATCATATCAGGCCTCCTTCTTCCATTGCTCCGTGGTCCAGTTCTGATGGTTGGCGCTTTCGGCGGTGGACAGGGGTCAGCATGGGCACACTGACTGGTCTGCGGCTATGCAGCCCCATACGCAACAAACTGCAATGCACTTTGTATTCTGACACCTTTCTATCAGAACCAGCATTAACTTGAGCAATTTGAGCTACAATAGCTCGTGTGTTGGATCGGACCTCACGGGCCAGCCTTCGTTCCCCACGTGCATCAATGAGCCTTGGCCGCCCATGACCCTGTCGCCGGTTCACCACTGTTCCTTCCTTGGGCCACTTTTGATGGATACTGACCAATGCAGACTTGTCTGCAGCTACAGTTTTGGAGATGCTCTGACCCAGTCGTCTAGCCATCCCAATTTGGCCCTTGTCAAACTCGCTCAAATCCTTACGCTTGCCCATTTTTCCTGCTTCTAACACATCAACTTTGAGGACAAAAAATGTTCACTTGCTGCCTTATAAATGTGTCATGATGAAGAGATAATCAGTGTTATTCACTTCATCTGTCAGTGGTCATAATGTTATGCCTGATCGGTGTATATCTTCGTAATTAGGGATGGGCACTAGTACTCAAGTACTCGAAAGTGACAGGGACAATCAACCTTGAAAATTATCATGTGACTGGTTCTGGTATTATGGGCGGTACCTTGAAGTCTGATTAGTTAGCGTTGGGACAGCAAGCCATCCAAAACAAAGAACAGTTATTAGAAAATACAGTTAAATGCAGCAGCAAACTTTCATGACATTATAATGAGAACACTATTGTAACACTAGTGTTGTGAATTCTTTGTGCTTTAGCGCATGTTACAGAAAAAGCGCACAGTCGGGAGTTATGCATTCTGACTAGACAATAACTTCAGGTTCATGTCATTTTGTGAATAAATATAAAAGCTGTACTGTGTTATCTCATATACATCTGTTTGAGCTTATTAACCAGTGGTGGTAAGTAACGAAGTAAAAATACTTTGTTACTTTACTTAAAGGAGAACTCCGGCGCAAAATGAACCTTTGGTCTAATTACACATTGTTACCTAGTCAACCGTTATCTGAGATTTGTTTTCATGATTATCGAATGTAAATAGTTTTATCTCTAAAAACAGTTTAGCCTATAAAGCTAGTATAACGGTAGTATATTGGGCATAGTGTAATGACAAATAAAAATCGCTTGTTAATACCACTAACAAGGCTGAAAATAGACCCACACTAACACGGTAGGATAATGAGGGTCCCTACCTTCAAACCGAAGCATTGAGAACTTTGTAAGTGTACAGACAGTTTAATAAGAAGATATTTTAAACATACAGTCAACTTCGCGTATACAGACAGGAGCCATCTTTGAAATACAGCCTTTACCAGTCGATCTACGAACGCCGATCCAAGTGCGCTGGTGAGAATGTGAACGAGCTATAAGTTGTGATAAGGTGAGCGCGAACAGCAGGCTTGGATCGGCGTTCGTAGATCGACTGGTAAAGGCTGTATTTCAAAAATGGCTCCTGTCTGTATACGCGAAGTTGACTGTATGTTTAAAATATCTTCTTATTAAACTGTCTGGACACTTACAAAGTTCTCAATGCTTCGGTTTGAAGGTAGGGACCCTCATTATGCTACCGTGTTAGTGTGGGTCTATTTTCAGCCTTGTTAGTGGTATTAACAAGCGATTTTTATTTGTCATTACACTATGCCCAATATACTAGCGTTATACTAGCTTTATAGGCTAAACTGTTTTTAGAGATAAAACTATTTACATTCGATAATCATGAAAACAAATCTCAGATAACGGTTGACTAGGTAACAATGTGTAATTAGACCAAAGGTTCATTTTGCGCCGGAGTTCTCCTTTAAGTATTTTTTTCGGGGATCTGTACTTTACTTGAGTATGTTTTATTTGCATCTACTTTCACTCTTAATCCACTACAATATTAAAGACAAAGTTTACTTTTTACTCCGATACATTTCCCCATGCCCGCTCCAAGTATTTATTACACTGGCTTTCCAAACCAATGAAAAACGTGGTTTTCTTTTGAAAAAAAGAACGCACTAGCTCTTTGCCAGCATACGCTCACATAGCAGTCAGTTCGCCATTGCGAAGTTGAAGATGACCGCAGAGACAGGTGAAGGTGCAGCTCTTGCTGCCATCAATGATCCCGAGATTTCCAACAGGGATCACCCATGGCCATATCTCAATGATATGTTCCAATTCACTGAAGTCAATGGGTCAATGGAATTTCAGCATTCAAAACTTCACCCTCAAATCTGAGAAAACATATTGAGGTGAGTTGACATTAAAGCAACACTAAAGTAGATTTTTTACCTTAAAATAATGTTTCCAGAATCGTTTCAGCGGTTCATCAAGTCGTAACAGGGTAAAAGGCACTTCTGCCTTTGCTTTGTGGTCCTATATCTGCTATAACCACTAGGGGTGGGGGAAAAAATCGATTCTTAGATGCATCGCGATGCGGACGTGGACGATTCTGAATCGATTCACAAATGTCAAAAATCGATTTCCAAAAAAAAAAAATATATATATATATATTTTTTTATATATATATTTATAATAACGTAATATTGACAGAACACAAAAGACGGACCTCTGAAGCGCGGAAGTGCAGTGCCCTGTCTGTGGCGTGCACATAACAGAGACGCGATGGCTGAGCGCGAAATCCAAACACCCTCCGCGTTAAAAGCTGACGTGTGGAAATATTTTGGCTTCAATTAAGGTTGAAGGGGGAAAGGAGCTGGACAAGAGCCACACTATTTGTAAGCTTTGTAGAATAAAACTAAAATATTTCGGAAACATGACAAATATGAGAAGCTATATGACACGTTTCCACCCAGAGGAGGAAAAACACTCGGCTGTATCGGTCGTTGTTATATTATTAATTTACTACAAGTATGCTGCTAGTTCAGGCACACATTTATTTTCCTGTTGGTTCTTTGCAATGTTAATAACATATATTGTACGTTAATTCTTTATGGGTCATTACTTTGTACTTTTAAAGCAAAGTATTTATAGTCACACACACACACACACACACAAAAAGATTCAGATAATCGCTTTAGCATCGAATCGCTGCCCTCTGAATCATAATCGAATCGAATCGAGAGGTGCCTAGAGGTTCCCACCCCTAATAACCACACTATGCAAGTTTGCCAGATCGGGTCGCGTTTCTGTAGTTCGAATGAGACATAAGAAAACTACAAATTTGACTTGCTTTACGACAAGCGTTACAATTGGATATCGTTCACTCTAAAGCCGGTGCTGGATAAACAGCGAGCGTGTGTGCGACAGTAGGCTGCGGTAGGCTAAATTATTTACGACAGCGGTAACAGACAATGCCGCGTCCACCCTATAGGGGGACCGCAGAGGAAAAGTTCTTTAGTGTTGCTTTAATGTTACTATTGTTAGCCAGGGGATTTCATATTGAAACGTGCCTTGTAAACAGCTAGCTAACAAATTCTTAATTGCAGTATCTAATCTTATCATTTGTTCAAATAAAACAGTGGATATCACTCCCAAAACAATTGATCTGCTTAATTATTGATATTTACAGTTAATTCGAATATTTACTTTTTGCTTTCTGTACTTAAGTATGTTTTAAATCGAAAACTTTTGTACTTTTACTCAAGAGATGTTTGATTGGAGGACTTTCTACTTTTACTGGAGTTATTTTTTATTTAGGTATATATACTTTTACTCCAGTACTTTTACCACCCCTGTTATTAACCCACTAGGAAAGTACTTCAGTTTATCGGTGTTCATTCATTGTTCAGCTTTAGCTCACACAGCTCAAACCGCTTGGGGATGTAGGCATATTCGGATGCAACCAGATTTTTTATGTCTGTGATAATGCACCAATACTCTAAAGCAATTTTTGCAATGCAAATTGATAGGCAATATAAAATATAATCTAAAATTTAAATTTTCA